AAAAAAAAAAAGTCATCTGATTTTTGCATTGCATTTTAATTTTATTTTTACTCATTGCATTTTAAAATGTCCTTTTCTTAAACCATTTATCTGATATTGATCTGCTATTCATGGGAAAGAACTGTTTTTTGGAAGTGTACTGAACAAATGTCAAAACAAACTAATAGGCCAAGTACTACTGCAAAATACTAATAATAAAACATTCTATTAAGGGGGCACCAGGGTGGCTCAGTCGGTTAAGCAACCTACTCTTGATTTCGGCTCAGGTCACGATCGCAGGGTCATGAGATACAGCCCCGCCGTCGGGCTCTGTGCTGACAGCCTGCTTGGGATTCTCTCCTTCCCTCTCTCTCTGCCCTTTCCCTGCTCTCTCTCTTTCAAAATAAATAAATAAACTGCAAAAAAACCCACATTCCATTAAAAGAAAGATATCAGGAAAGTTATAGGCTTATAAAGTAAGTCAGAGTGAGGTAGATTGGCCAAGTCACACAGATTTTTGCTTTGAACCGGAGTTCTGACTGACATCAAAGCATAAAATTGTTACTAAACAACAGAGCCCACATGTTGAAACTATGTGCAGACGGGAAAATATGTGGGTGAGTGTACCGTAAGTATGTTATGACTTTACTTACCTCCATCTAATCCCATATTCTTGGCTTGCTCTAAAATATTGCTTACCATTAAACGACAGAAAGCCTTAGAGAAAACACGATTCAGAAGGGAAGGCATGACGTACCTCCCCGAGTTGCGCAGATCACACGAGAAGGTGTCTGGCACTGAGCACAGCAGAGAAATGCTGCAAAAGTGGTGACGGGGATGTGGCACACCCCTGCAGGGCTGCTCCATGCAGTACCCTGCACTTGGCAAATAGTTTCCTCTCTGAACCCATTGAAGTATTGCACAGCACAGTAGAGGGCTTTTAGTTTAGAAGATGCGAAGGAACTAAGCATGTCGGAGACGACCAGGCCGGAGTTAGAGGTAGAGACTCAAGTACTGAAATAAGAGCCTACCTCTGGACAGCGGGAAGGATATGGCTCAAGAGTTCACGTAGGGGTTGGTCTTGAAGATACATATAAAATTCAAGGTGGAGGGGCACCTGGGTGGCTCAGTCAGTTAAGCGGCCGACGTCGGCTCAGGTCATGATCTCACAGTCCGTGAGTTCAGGCCCCGCGTCGGGCTCTGTGCTGACAGCTCAGAGCCTGGAGCCTGTTTCAGATTCTGTGTCTCCCTCTCTCTGACCCTCCCCCGTTCATGCTTTGTCTCTCTCTCTCTCAAAAATAAATAAACGTTAAAAAAAAATTTAAAACAAAAAAAAATTCAAGGTGGAAAAGAGGAAAACTAGAGGTCAATGTCTGATGACCCTTTACATTCTTGGCTAAGTTGTAAGATTGAAGTCAATTTTTCACAGGGAAAAGTGAAGTAAGAGTGAACAGGTGTCCACAAGCAACAACAAGTTCACGATGAGTATGGTCAAATGAGTACGAAAAACAGAAATCTCTGTGTATCTGTTTTCATGTAAAACGGTTATATTCATATCAAACGAAAAATGTATAAAGTACCAGAGAAATAAAATCAGAAGTCAATTCTTTTATGCATGTTATTTTGCCATTTAAACAACAGTAGATTTAGCAGTGTTAAATATTTAGAGATATTTTACTGACTTAAAAATCCACAGTATTTTCCACTTCTATATTTCAGAATACCTGTTCGTTTTGGATCCTTAGGTTTTCACTTTCAATCCTTTTAATTCTGTGCATTTCATGTAAATACACATTTTTCTTTTCTAACCACTCCTGTGAGAATAAGAAAGAAACTATATGATATTCAAAGTTTCCCAAATGAATTAGAATTCTTATCCATTTCTGAAATATTTGATTAAAATTTTAAAAAGGCAAAACACAAAATTTAGAAATTCTATATACACTAGTATCATTTTTCTTTTTCTAATAATATTGTGATGTATAAAGATAAGTATGAATAAAAAATATGTCTGTCATCTTTCTTAGATTTAACAACAGAATTCAAAGATTGAATATAATGGCTACAGGAAAGTTCACATTTTTCTCCAAATTTCTCAAGTACAATTTTCTAAAGTGTACTATGTAGTGTAATAAACAAGACAAGAAAAAAAAAAAAAGGACCTTTTTGGAAATGAGGAAAAATCAGGAAAGTCTTTTGCTATGCAAGCTTACTTCAAATACAAATTCTTAGGAAAGAAAAAAATTAAAACTATTTGTTCATACATTTGTTCATTTGTTCATACATTTTAAGAAGAAAAAGCATAAAAACGTATATAGACCTTAACCATATTTTTGCTTTGGCTGGAATTTTATAAATTTTCATGGCATATTCTCTTTCTTTAAAAACAGCTATGGGGGCACCTGGGTGGCTCAGTCGGTTGAGCATCCGACTTAGGCTCAGGTCGTGATCTCACAGTTTGTGGGTTCGAGCCCCACATCAGGCTCTGTGCTGACCGCTCGCTTAGAGCCTGGCGGCTGCTTTGGATTCTGTGTCTCCTTCTCTCTCTGCCCCTCCCCCGCTCATGCTTTGTCTCACTCTGTTTCTCAAAAATAAATGAATGTAAAAAAAAAAAGAAAAGAAACTTACAAAATAAAAATTAAAAAAAAAACAGCTATGATTGGTTAAGCAAAGCTTAGAAAGAAATAATTTAGTAAAAAAAAAAAAAACAACTTTGGGTTGCTCAGGTATTATAAAGGAACATTTTTCCCAATAAATTAAGTATTAAACCACCATTTCTGACAGGGTCATTTTATTCCTTGATAAATGGGTAACCTTATTAGGTGACTCTTCATTTTTAAAGAATGTTTTCCTTTTTACCTGATAAACAGCTGCCCTTATGTTATCTGCTCGTTCAGGTTCTAGGTTCTGTTTCTGTGGGGGCTTTTGGTCCAAGACTTTCAAAGTCCCTAAATAGTGAGAAGAGGTAGATGCTGATGGTGGTCTCCTTATAGAACTAGATTTCTTTAAAAAGTCAGAGGTCATTAATCTGAAAAGATCCAAAGAAACCAACACAGTTACTACAATTGCACTTGGTAGGAGAAAAATACATTAGAATTTACAGTTACTATATTTGAAATTACATTATAAATTAATAAGTTATAAGTACTTTGAAAATGTAAAAAAAGACGGTGATAGTCTTTTCTTACTAAGAGCTTCAAAGTACTTGCTCTTTCTAGAAAATTGTAATTAGAACATTTTTAAGAAACATGGATTACATCTCAAGTTACATGGAGAAAATAATATAAATAAAGTAGATTTTAAGTCTCTTGTATCATTTTGTTACAAAAAAACCATTCTAAATAGTTAGAATAGCATTTTCTACTTCAGGGGTTGGCAGGAAAATATGGCCCACTGCCCAGTTTTGTACAGTTTACTTATTTTGTAAGTTTACTGAACCACAGCTAAGATCATTCATTTACATGTTGCCTAAGGCTGTTTCCCTGCTATAACAGCAGAACTGAGTCGTTACAAGAGAGTATGGCCCATAAATCCTAATCCATGTACTAACTGGCATTTTACACTTAAGGTTTGCTGACCCTTGCTTTATTTGATCAATGGTAATTTAAAAGACAGAAGCTTTTGATTAGCATTTATGAGTTAGACATTCATTATCATCAGCGTGAATGAAGCAATATAGAATCTTGTCATTTTAATAAACCACCTTAGTCCACAGAACCTCAAGGTTTTAAGTATAATTGTCATGTGTTAGACAAAGACACTTAATAGAGAAGTCCAATGCTGGACTTTAGCTTTATTACCATACAGCAAAGAAACTCTAACCCAGGAATAATGTAGAGTATAGAGAATCCCTAATAAATTCCTCATCATAAAAGAACATGATCAACTGAGGAGTCTTATCATGAAATAACTACTTCATTCATTTCATGAGATGGGAATTTAAAGAAAATCAAGTAACACCAAATGAAATTCACTTTACAGAAGTTAAGCTAAAATTAGCTCTGTTGGAAATAAACTCATAAATTTGGGATAATAATCACTTTATTACCTGCCAGATGCACTGGATGCTCTATTATTTGTTGATTTTTTATTCTTCATATTTCTGTCTTCAATTGTTTTCTATTAAATAGAAAATACCATAGATGGATTACTCCCCATAACTATCACAGTTAGACTTAGGGGCCAAGCTGCAAGGAAATCAATGTTTCTGAAGCATCTACTATGTGTCAAGTACAGCAGTCCCTGGGAACTAATAAGGATACTACACTTTAGAGAGGGCTGACGGACATGAAACAAAAACAAATGTGAGTCAAGAAGGGGATAAGCTAGGGCCCTGTGACAGTGACTAGAGTGAGGGATTATGTTAACGACAGTGATCAAGAAAGGCCTCCCTGAGGTCTTGACATCAGTGCTAAGATAAATGATGAGAAGAAAGGGGCCACATGAAAGAAGGTCTACGGAAAGAAGTAGTAAGGGCTAAGAACCCGAGAAGGGAGAGAACTTGATAATGTTGAGAAACAGAAAAAGGTGAATGATGCTGAAGCACAGTGAATGACAGGGAGAGTGGAGGAACAGATGGTCAGAGAAGAATGTGTGAGGTCCTTAGGAAGTGGTAAAATGTTTGCATTTTATTTTATTTTAAGTTGATTAATTTATTTTGAGGGAGGGAGGGAGGGAGAGAGAGAGAGAGAGAGAGAGAGAGAGAGAGAGAATCCAAAGCAGGTTCCACGCTGTTAGCACAGAGCCAGACCTGGGGCTCAAACTTATGAACGGTGAGATCATGACCTGAGCAGAAATCAAGGGTCAGACGCTTAACCAACTGAGCCACCCAGGTGCCCCTCTGCATTTTATTCTTATGATGACAATCCAACAAAGAGACCTTAGCAGGGAAATGATGTGATTCAGACTTAAGGAAGGTCCTTTAAGGGGAGTAAGGATAAAGCCAAGGATTCAGTCAAAAGAAATGTCATGGTCTTACTTATTATATATAAATTGCCTGTCGTAATTTAGAACTGCCTCTGTTTGACATTTCTAGGATCCCATCTATAAATTCCAAATACCCTTCTTCTTTTTAAGGAGTAACTTCTCTCCTTTACACAGAAGGCTGCTACCATTCAAGTGAGAACACAGATAGAAACCTACATGGCTTACTTGGCATGAGTGATTTTTCCTAAGGAAAGTGGTTACGAACAATATACCTGGAACATGGTTTAATGAGCCTTCTCTGTAAATTTTAATACAAAGCATTAGTATTCTGTATTATAAAAGTCCTATTCAACCACAAGTCTTCAACTAGCACTGTTACCTTCCCCAATAGTAAATACACATAGTCACCAGCTGACTATAGCTATAAGAAATAAAGACTAGCTTCAAGAGAAATAAAGACTAAAAATGCTATACCATAAATTTTAAAAGTATACTACTCTGGCATAGTTTCAAGTAATCCTACACACCATAAATCTGGTTCTCAAGGTTATAATAATAATAATGTTTCTAATAATGATACTGTCCATCCATTTAAACAAGAAAGATGTTGGTAAACATTTCTTAAAGATTTCCTTTAAAATGTATAAAATGTTTAAAAATGATATCCAAAATGTTTAAAAATTCACTAATTCAAAACCTTAGAAATTGTTTCAGATAGATGCATTTTTATAACACGAAGACCTATAGAAACCTACCCACTTATGGGTTTATGTTTCTAGATATTTAAAAGTATATTATGATCATATACCTTTGATAATTTTTAATGAAATACTGAATTTTATTATATTCACTGCAAATCTTCCCTGAAGTAAAACAGTATTGAATTAAATAAAAACCACTTGATAATATACCAGTATCAAAAGATGAGTTTTCTACAGATAATTCAAGAGTACATAATACGGCAGGTAAAATATTTAACAGATCTATTTTGAGTTTTGCTGTAGTATAAAAGGTATAATTTTATATAAATACCTTTGAAGACGCAGTTGCATCAGTGGATATTACGATACTCTGAGATTTCAATAGCGGTGGATCAGCTGTCAACTCATTCATGATCAGTTCAGCTTTCTCCTTTTCTTCTTCAAGGTCATCAGCAATCACTTGACTTTCCTTGGATTTCTCATGTGGAGTAGTAACAAAGTCTATCAAAAATGAATTCTCTTCATTTTCATTTGATTTCAAGGAATTGTGGTTTTCAGTAAGTTCTTCATTCTGATCTATTTTGAGACAGAGTCACAAAACTAAAACTCTCTTCTGAACTAATAAGGTAGATAACAGATTCATTGGCTTTCTACTAAATGAGGATTGCCTAGGATGGCTTTGTCATGCAAAATAAAATGTGAAGAGAGCTATTGTATTCAACTTGAATAAACTTTTCTCCAAAGTGATGTACAAAAGAGAAAGTGGCTACTTAATGTACTAAAGCATTTGACTTACCTAATACTTAGGAAAAAAAAAAAACATATTAGTAAGTAGAATGGAATAACTACCCTAAACCAAAGGCACACCAAAAGCTCCTGTTGATGATAAACCAAGTAAGTGAGAGGGCAGTATCTATTCTATTTGAAAGCCTGTGTTTCTTAGCTGGGACAAGAAGCTGTGCGGGCAGGAGGTACACATCTCTATGCTACTATAGGTACAAGTGGTACGGGAGCAAAATTGCTGAGCTGCAGGAGAACCAAGAATTCATGAAATTTTAGAGAGTCCACCACACAGAGAATAAAGCCTTCTTCTAGACAGGTTTCTTTTTTTTAATTTTATTTTAATGTTTATTATTTATTTTTGAGAGAGAGAGAGAGAGACAGAGTGTGAGCAGGGGAGGGGCAGAGAGAGTAGGAGACACAGAATCCGAAGCAGGCTCCAGGTTCTGTCTGAGCTGTCAGCACAGAGCCCGATGCAGGGCTCGAACTCATGAACCGCGAGGTCATGACCTGAGCTGAAGTCGGAAGCTTCACTGACTGAGCCACCCAGGTGCCCCCATCTAGACAGTTTTATTTCTGCCAAGATGCAGAAATGTTGTCTATGATACCAACAGGGCACTAAAAGCTGGCCTATTACTCATCTCCATGCTCTAAGGGACAGCCTCAAGCAGTGGCATGACAAGATTCTGTTTCATTATGACAGAACTTCTCTTATTATTCTGCCTGCCCCACTTTGGAATGTTCAACAGAAAGAAGTCCGTGATCACCAATTTTCAATTCTACTAGGATCCACCTACTGGCCAACTTTGTATTTTTATTGTCAAAGTCTTAATTCTGCTGCTTTCATTATTACAGCCATTTTTTGGAACTGGTTTTGAACTCAGCCGGATTTAAAATAATTTTGCAATTATAGTTATACATTTTCATTTGGGGAGCACTCACGACTCCAAGTATCATTAATGAATTCTTTAGAACTGCTAATTAATGTATTCAGTAAAAAGAACAAGGACTTTGGAGCCAAAGATTCAAATTATAGTTTTAGCACTGACTTTTGGGTATGTTTCCCAATATCTTTGCACTTCAGTTTTTCTCATCTGTAAAATGACAAAAATTATACTACATGGCAAGCACTTAATAAATGCACACATCCTGGTCCTAGAAATAGCTATGCCTTTTAGCTCCCATCAAGCTATATGTCACAGGACTAAGGAAAGAAATGCATTAGTAAGTCACAGCTTACACTTACTTACGTGCTTACCGTGGCACTGTTCTAAGGGCTTTACAGGTATTATTAGCTCATTTAATTCTCACAGCCATGAGAGACGAGGTAGCCTGCTCTTAGATCCCCCTTTGCAAGATCAGTATACAGGGCCATAGAGATTAGGTAACTTTGCTCTCGTAACCTTGTCTAGTTCTGCATCTAAAATCACATGGTTAGTAAACAGCACACGGGGGGTTAAAACTAAGGCAAATACAAACGTATCATTCTGAAAAGTATGTCTTTTGCAAACAAGATTCTTAGCAATATGGAGTTCAAACATAAAATGCGATGTAACAATTTGATATAACTACCTTGTATGGATGCTTTTTCCCCAGATCCTGGTGATAAGGAATCTCCAAGACTTTCTTTAAGAGATGACGATGATAGACTTGTTAACCATGGATCCTGTTCAAAAAAAAAAAAAAAAAAAAAAAAAAGAAAAAGAGTATTTACTATGTAAGTTTACTTCTTAAGATTTGTGTGGGACAATAGCATTATTAAGACTATTTCATAACTCTGAAATCGGCCTTATGAGGAGTTTGCAGATGAAACACCAAAAGCATTAAGCCTGTGGAGGCTAATATGCTTTACTTTCAAACATTGATGTCTTGATCATTAATAGGGGTCACTAAAGAGTTTTTCTAGCTCTTTCATGGGCATCTCGATATTTGCTTTTAGCAATTTTCAAAACTCTTGCTCTCAAATCAGATCTCATAAATATTTGAGACAAAGATTTGATATCTTTTTCTCTAATTCTTATTTCTAAGAAGGTATGAAGAGAGTAGAACAAAAACCCTTGGTGTCAAATGTCCAAATAAAAGCCATTTATAAAACCAAGTAGACAACAACTACCAAATATTTAGACAGAAAAAGTACATAGACTCCATGCACTTGAGTTTTCCTCACAATTCTGAAAATTATATCTGAAGTGAAATAATTAATATTTGTATGTCTGCGCCAAACATCTCTTTACAGAGTAATAATCTAGCCTAAAGTTTTGATGGCATCATAATGTAAGAGTTTGACTTTACTGCATAAGTAACAAATTCTATTTTTCTTTCCCACGATATTTTATGGGAACAAAGACAATTATTTACCAAAAGCAAGAAGTAGAAACTATCTGAGAAAATGGCAGAAGGGCTGACACACGGCAATCTACTTTGAGAGACAAAGCTCTGCCAGAGGAGAGTGGCAAGTTAGTAGATTTTTGCCTGAGTTCATTCACCCATCCTTGCGGCCCAAGTGGTAGAAGGTTGCAGCCTCACCAGGCTGGCTTAAAGGGTCAGGGCACGGAGTTAGGGACTATAAAGTCAGCCAGTAAATTTGAGGAAGAGCTGCAGTGGCACGAACCCCAACATTTGTTTATAAAATTCATCCCAAACCCTTGGTTCATCTATGCATGGCACAGGGAAGACATCGGAAGATCCTGTAAAATCAGAGCAATTAGAAACCAAAAGAACTAAGCAGAGATTTCTGTTGATATCCATGGCAAGGGAGACAGACTTGGCAATTTGACGTTTATTTATTTTTGAGACAGAGAGAGACAGAGCATGAACGGGGGAGGGTCAGAGAGAGGGAGACACAGAATCTGAAACAGGCTCCAGGCTCTGGGCTGTCAGCACAGAGCCCGATGCGGGGCTCGAACTCACAGACCGCGAGATCATGACCTGAGCCGAACTCGGCCGCCTAACCGACTGAGCCACCCAGGCGCCCCCAGACTTGGCAATTTGAGTCCAGCCACAATATCTGTACACTAAAACACATGTTCAGAGGAACATAACAGACTCTAGAATCTCTATAACATATTGTTCATAATGTACCGTATTCAGTCAAAAAGTTTCTAGATAGGTGAAGAAATGGAAAATGGTGACTCATATTTATGAAAACAAAAACAAAAATAATAAAAACAGCCCTTGGGGGGCACCTGGGTATCTCATTCGGTTAAGTGTCCGACTTCAGCTCAGGTCATGATCTCATGGTTCATGAGTTAGAGCCACGCATGGGGTTCAGTGCTGACAGCTCAGAGCCTGGAACCTGCTTCAGATTCTGTGTCTCCCTCTCTCTGCCCCTCCCCTGCTCACACTCTGTCTCTCTCTGTCTTTAAAAAAAAAAAAAAAAAAAAACATTAAAAACAAACGAACAAGCAAAACAGTCCTTAGGAGTCAAGCTAGAGATGACCCAGATGTTGCAATTAACAAATGAGGACTTTAAACAGGTATTAAAAATATTTTCAAGCACTTAGAGGAAATGCATGCATGGAAGTTGACTAGATGGGGATCTTATTAAATATATGAAAAATAAAAAAAAATACCCATGGACACTATAGAGTTGGAAACTATAATACTAAAATAAAACATCTGCTGGGTAGTAGACAACAGCAGATTAGGGATGGCAAAAATGGGCAGTGTACTCAACGACAGACCAATACATTGTTCAATCTGAATAACAAAGGGAAGAAAGACTGAAGAAACATGAACAGAATTTTAGAGACTGAATGAGACATATCAAAGATTTCAATACTAAAAAGAAGAAAAGAAAACTAGGGCAGGGAAAAAAATACATAAAAACTTTCCATTTTCAAAGAAAGTATCAGTTTATAGATCCTGAAAACTCAGTGAAACCCAAACAGAATAAATTTTAAAAAACAAAACACACATCGGGCACCTCGGTGGCTCAGTCGGTTAAGCGTCCGACTCTTGGTTTCAGCTCAAGTCATGATCTCACAGTTCCGTGGGATTGAGCACCACATCGGGCTCTGTGCTGGCAGTGCAGAGCCTACTTGGAATTCTCTCTCTCCCTTTCTCTCTCTGCCCCTCCCTCACTTGTGCTGTCTCTCTCTCTCTCTCTCTAAGTAAATAAATGGATAAAAATTAAAAAAAAAAAAAAAACACACATCTAGTTACCTTGCAGTCAAACTATTGTAATAAAAAACTTTTTTGAAAAAAATCTTGAAAACATTTTGCCGGAAAAAAGAAAACATACATGGGAAGACAACAAAATGAATTATTGCTGATTTCACACCGGAAATAATACCGGCCAGGAACAATGGAAACTAATAAAGAGCTGGGGGAATGGGGTTGATGAGAAAGGAACTGTCATCAGCCTAGATGTATATACTCAGCTAAGCTGACCCACAGTTCCTGGGTTTGAGCCCCACTTTGGGCTCTGTGCTGACAGCTAAACCTGGAGCCTGTTTCGGATTCTGTGGCTCCCTCTTTCTCTGCCCCCCCTGCTCATGCTCTCTCTCTCTCTCAAAAATACATAAACATTAAAATTGTTTTTAAATGAAGATGAAATAAATATTTTTTAGATAAGTAGGATCGAGAGAACCCATCACTAGCAAACCTGCATTACAAGAAATATAAAAATAAGTTCTTAAAATTGAAGGGAAATAATACCAGAAAGTAATCTGGCTCTATAGGAAGGAATAAAGATCCTTAGAAATGGTAGACACATTTAAGAAAACTGTAAATATTTATTCTTTTTTTTCTTTTAATTCCTTAAAAGTCAAAGACAAAAAAGTTTTTTTAAAGGAAAATTGTAACACTGTATTGTGGGAATTATATGATATGTAAATGCAGTGTTTATGACAACAATAACAGGATGGATGAGGGAATACATGGAACTACACTATGACAAGATTTCTATATTAAATATGAAATAGTACAGTACTGACACTAGGTAGATTGTGAGAATTTATATCTGCATCTTGTAATCCACAGAGCAACTACTAAAAATATAACACAAATAGGTACAGTTAAAAAGGCAATAGAGGAATCAAAATTGGAAACTAAAACCTATGTGATTAACTCTCAAGGAAAAAAAAGAAAAAAAAGTCAGGGAAAATGTTACAGAGGAACGACAATGACAGCACTAACTTAAAAAACAAAACAAAACAGATAAATAGAAAACACACAGCAACAAATTGGTCCTAAATTAAAAGTAAATGGACTAAGCACTCCTAAATGGACAATAATTAAAAAGAAGACTCAGGTTTGATTAAAAAAAAAAAAAAGTGACAGTTTTTTATAACCTAACAGTTATTATAAAAGAATTATTATAAAAATTATATAAAAAAGAAAAAGTCACAAATAGTTTGCAGAGAATGATACAAGAAGATAAACTATGCAAACACCAGTAGTAAGAAAGCTGAAATATTAGACAAATCAAACTGCAAGATAAGGAGAATTACCAGAGGAAGAAACATTTCATAATGTAAATAGGGTCAAGACATAATAATGATAAATGTGTATGTGCCTAATAGAGTCATAAAATACTGATAGAACTAAAGGTAAGAACAGACAAATTCACAAACGTAACTGGAACACTGTTGGTACTTGGTAAACCAGCCAGACAAAAAAAATCAGTGAGGATAGAGAAGATCTCAGTGACACCACCAGCCACCTTGACCAAACAGAAATTATAGAACAGTATATCCAACAGCTGCAACACTTACATCTTCTGTAAATGCAAATGGAATTTTCACAAGATACACTTAGGCTGATCCATAAAAAAAAATCTAAAAAAATCTGTAAAATGTGAAATTATGTAAGATATAGTCTCTGATCATAACAAAACTAAATTACAAATCAATACAAAATTACATATAGAAAAAAATCCAGATATTTGAAAGTAAAATCACTCACCACAAATTAACCAATCAGCCAAAAATGAAATCACAAAGGAAATTAGAAAATATATTTAAAAGAAATGATAATGAAAATAAAAGGTATTAAAATTTGGGTGCTGCTGGGGTGCCTGGGTGGCGCAGTCAGTTAAGCGTCTGACTTCAGCCAGGTCACGATCTCGCGGTCCGTGAGTTCGAGCCCCGCGTCGGGCTCTGGGCTGATGGCTCGGAGCCTGGAGCCTGTTTCCGATTCTGTGTCTCCCTCTCTCTCTGCCCCTCCCCCATTCATGCTCTGTCTCTCTCTGTCCCAAAAATAAATAAAAAACATTGAAAAAAAAATTAAAAAAAAAAAAATAAAATAAAATAAAATTTGGGTGCTGCTAAAGCAGTGCAGAGAGGGAAATTTATAGCATTCAAAGGTTTTAATAGAAAGGATGAAAGGCTTAAAATCAATGAATACATTTTCCAACTTATGGGTATGCAAATTAAACCAAAACAAAGTAAAAGAAAAAAAAAAGGAAGAAAAAAAAATGAAGAATGAAAATCAGTGAAATTGGAAACAAACAACAGAGAAAACTGACAAAGCCAAAGTTGGTTCTTAGAAAAGTTAATAAAACTGGATGATGCTTATCAAGATATTACAAGAAAGACAGAAAACATAATCTATATATTAGAAATAAAAGATGGAATGTTATGATAATCTCACCGTCATCAAAAGAATAAAGGAATTATCACAACCTCATGTTTATAGATTCAACATCTCAGATGAAATGGACAAATTTCTTAATAGACCTAAATTACCAAATTGATGAAATAGAAAACCTGAATACCAAAATATCTATCAAAAAATACACTTTAGGGGCGCCTGGGTGACTGAGTCGGTTAAGCGTCCGACTTCGGCTCAGGTCATGATCTCACGGTCCATGAGTTCAAGCCCCGCATCGGGCTCTGTGCTGACAGCTCAGAGCCTGGAGCCTGTTTCAGATTCTGTGTCTCCCTCTCTCTGACCCTGCCCCATTCATGCTCTGTCTCTCTCTGTCTCAAAAATAAATAAATGTTAAAAAAAAATTAAAAAAAAATACACTTTACTATCAAATACCTCTCCACAAAGAAAATCCCAGACAATTTCACTAGTGAATTCTCTTAATTAAAGAAAAAAAATGGTACCAAACTTTTAGAAAATAAAAGAGGATAAAAGAAAATAAAAGAGATACTCCCCAACTCATAGGATACCCAAGCCTGATAATAACATTATAAGGAAAAAAATATACACAGATAGCCTCTATAAGTATGGATGTGGAAATCTTAACAAAATATTAACAAATCAAATCCCACAATGAAATATTCTACTGTGATCAACCAGATCTTATCCCAGGAATGCTAAGTTTGACATATATACATACATACGTATCATCTCCACCTTTCTCTCTCTCTCTCTCTCTCTCTCTCTCTCTCTCTCTCACACACACACACACACACACACACACACACACACACACACACAAGGTAGGAGGTGAGGATGGTAAGAAAGTAAATGTCACCTTTCAAAATCTAGCTGAGACATTTGCAGGAAGGTAAGGTTGGGGGGGAAGAGGTGTGGTATCAAGCGAGAGTGTATACACAATTAAAGAGACTTGAGCATAGTAGAATGCGGATAGACACAGACCCCTCCAGTCTTGGACTTCCAGTAAAGAGCCAAAGGTTATAGACATAGAAGAGAGAAGAGCTGAACAAAAAATAGATGAGAAATCCCTGAGGAGGTGGGCTTAAAGAAGATTCAGAGCATAGTCCACAAGATCTTTATAATGAGAAATAAGGAACATTCGGATTATTAAAAATAGAAGTATCCAACGTACCCAGAAATAACATAAGAGTTTTATGTTATGGGCTATGTTATAATCAGTAAGGTGAATGTAGTCTTCTCAAGATCACCCAGCAATGTGGAAATACTTTATGACCCAATGCTAAGAGACAAAGAAAAAGTAGGATACAAATTACGTTATGACAAGTATGCTAAAACAGGTATAGGAAAGTAGCCTAGAGGGGAATAAGAATGATGAATGTAGTTGTTATTAAATGGTGCGATTATGGGTTGATATTTCATTTGATTAAATCTTGTCATAATATGATGTTAGTTTAAAAACTTTAGGAATACCTTCTTTTTTTTTTTTTTTTTTTTTTTTTTTTTTTTTTTTTTAAGCAAGGGATGCAGAAATGCTAGCAGGGAGCATCTAAAGTTAGGTGTCAGTACCACTTTGAAGAGTGTTCCCTCAAAATTTCATCCAGAACCTCAGAATGTGATCTTACTTGAAAACAAGGTGTCTACAAAAGGAATTAGTGAAGATGAGAACATAGTGGATTAGGTGGGCCTTAAATCCAATGACTGGTGTCCTTTTAAGAGAAAAGAGAGGGAAACACTGAGACACAGGGAAGAAGAGAAGGCCACATGATGATGACGGCAGGGATGGAAGTGAGGGAGCTCTAAGCCACGGAGCGCCAAAGACTGTTGGCAACCGACAGACGCTGGAAGAAACGAGGAAGAATTCTTCCCTGGAGCCTCCGGAGGGAACACGGCCCTGCCCATAACTTGATTTTGAACTTCTGACCTCCAGAATGGAGACAGTAAATTTCTGTTGTTTTAAGTCATCCAATTCATGGCAATTTGTTACAGTAGCTACGGTAAACTGACACAAAACTCACGTGGGCAATTAGTTTTACTAAATATAAAAAAATACCAGTTTGATTACACCCTCTTTTCTTCTCCTGATTTCAGAACAAATTAGGAAATAGCACCTTGAGCTCAGATAGATTTATATCAAATTGTCGGCTTTACTGGTAAAGCTAAGCTACAAAGCCAGATTTGAATCAGTAGCTTATTGTGCTCACACTTCCCCTCCGAATTGGAAGGATCCATATGTTTAGTCCTAACATGAAGGAGGTGCTCCAGCTCCCTTTGTGCCGCCTCGAAGGGACCGGATCCTTACACGCACACCACCACAGAGGAGTGAGGAGAAAAAGAAAGAAGCTCAACCAGGTACCATTTAGTTCTTTTCCCTGATCTGCTAAAGCAGATTATGGAGAGCAAACATTCTTCCCATAATTACTCCTTCTGAACTGTTACGTGTAAGTTCACTAACCATAGTGAAAGGTGAAGAGAGGGGCCCAAGTGTTCTCCCCTAATAACAATACCTAGTGTACTCTCTGATGAAATCCTGAAGGATCACATTTACCGTATCCCCCCCAAATATGGGACATTGCCATGATCATTCAATATACACTTGCTGAGGGGTGCCTGGGTCGCACAGTCGGTTAAGTGCCTGACTCTTGATCTCGGCTCAGGTAGTATTCTCACAGTTCGTGAGATCAAGCTTTGCATTGGGGGCATTGTCAGTGCACAGTCTGCTTCTGATTCACTCTCTCTCTCCCTCTGCCTCTCCACCACATTCTCTCTCTCTCAAAATAAACAAATAAACATTTAAAAAATACACACACACACACACACACACACACACACATATTTGTTGAGTGAATAAAACCAAATGAATAAAATGACACTGGCTATACTCTTCTTAGCCATAAGTTATAAAATTCAAAGATATGTGACTAAAACTATAAATTAAAAAAAATTGTTTACTTATTTTTGCAAGAGAGAGACAGAGTGCAAGCAGGGGAGAAACAGAGACAGAGGGAGACAGAATCTGAAGCAGACTCCAGGCTCTGAGCTGTCAGCATAAGCCAGACATGGGGCTCGAGCCCACAAACCATGAGAGCATGACCTGAGTTGAAGTCGGACACTTAACCGACTGAGCCACCCCAGGCACCCCTAAAACTATAAATTCTGAACAATTAAAGACAGACATTATTGCATAGACTCAAAAGGGCAACTTCTTTTTTTTACATTTACTTTCCCTGAAATTGGATGGTGCATCTTATAATTACTGGTGGATTACAGATTCATTGTCAGAGTTTTCTTCTTTCTTCGCAGTACATAAAATAATGTTATGTACATCTGTGTTATATCTTACAGTTGGAGCTTTAGATTCAATGGAATACTGTATATTATTAAAAACATCTTTAAATTATTTCCTTGTCAAAATAAATCAAAATAAGTAATTTCTCTATCAAGTGCTGAAAAGAACATGTAACACACACACACACACACACACACACAAATTCTCTTCTTCGTAATCAGATGCAAAGTCCTGAGTTCAAGAACAAATTCAGCAGTTGCACAGTAGCACTAACCTCAGGATCTAGGTTTTCCGAGAATGCTTTTTTCTCAGCTTCTAGTTGTCCGTCATTTAGCACTGGGAGGGGGGAAGGTGCAGAATGTGGCTCTAATTCTTCACGGAGAGCAGTTGTTTTATCTTCTCCTGGCCCATCTTTCTCCTCCTTGTGGCTGTGTGTTTTCAACATGCTCCGTGGCCGAGGTGAAGGCCTGAAGTGGTTGTCTGCTTCAAGGCTGCTGTTGTTTTCTGCCAAAAAATAAAGTGTTTTAAGGTGAGCATGCCAAAAAAATGACCATGACTTCAATTACACCCTAAGGTGCTGCCATACTTCCCTCCTGTGTCCATGCACCTTAGCTCTCTTCCCTGGACAGTCCAGAAGCCCACAACCCTTCTCTACACAGAGCTCCAGGAAGCACAAATGAGCCATAGTTCAAGGTCGATTTTTTTTTTTTTTCAAAGTAGCTACCATCCTGGAAGTAACTAGTTTAGTTTTGTGAGAAGTTGACTCTTCAAGTTTATGAACTCTCATAGTCAAAAAAATAACAACTAAAAAACAAAACACCAACGGTGCCCCAGTTTCTGCCTCTATGGGGGTTCATGCATAAACCTTGATTGAATGTCTGCTGTCAGGCCCTGAACACATTACTCACATTGCTGGACTTCATAATCAAGACAGTGACAATGACCCTGTCCAAGGATTTACACATTTGGCGGGGAGATGATTCTAAACAAAAGAAATTGTAAGAGCAAGGTAAGTTGCGTCACAAGCATGAAGATGATGTGGGTACCGGGGACAGGAGCGCTACTCTCATTGCAGAGAGGAACGAAGAACTACATTTGTGAACTGTGTTCTTTTGAGTCCATAAAACCTCTCCACAGTTGTTAAAGCGTCTGAGTTACTATTTCCCTTACTTCCAAGTTTAAAACGACAATGTAATGCTGGTATACTTCCAGCCCTCAAAGGTAAGGAAGCGTTTTATGTAAACTTCTTGCTTAAATGTTACCTGTTATACATATTCGTTTCTCCATTGTTCTACCAGTGCTTTCTTCTGACAAACTTCAAAACTGAAGTAATCAACACCTTCCTCCTCGTTAGCTATAAATGGGCTTATGAATGCTGCTAGAAGATTCCGTCACCATACCAAGCTGGCACCACTATAAATGTTTTATTGCCAATTTTAGCTATGTTCTCAACTCGGGCCAAATGTTCAAGCCATCCTGGATTCCTCCTCATGTTCCCTTTATGTCCGAAGCATCAGGACCCCCTGTTGAGTCTTCTTGCTAAATCTCTCTTTTACCCCACTTTCCACATCCCCGCCATCAGCAACTCATTTGCTCTCTCCTCAGAGATATTTACAAAATGCAAATCAGATCACATCACTCTTCCCCACAAAATTCCCCAATGGCTCCCCAGCATCCAATCCTACCGAATAAAAGCTTAATTGCCTCTGAACGGTATAAAAGGTCTCATGGTCTTCTGCCTGGCTACCAGCGCTGCCTTGTCTCCTGGTACACCCACTTTGTAGTCTATGTTCCTGAAATACTCGGCTCACTGCTCTCTTGGGGCTGCGCCACAGACCCTTCTGCTACCATACCTTTACCCAAGCTGATCCCTCTGCCTAGAATGTCCGCCTGCTGCTTCTTCTCCTGACAAAAGCTTGCATGCCATTCGAGCCTCAGTGTAAGCGGAATATTGTATAATGCCTGAAAGAAGGGGCTGAGTCAGTTTTTTTTTTACTGTGATAAGAACACTTAACAAGGGATCTTACCCTCTTAGCAAATTTTAAGTGCATAATACAGTATTGTCAACTAAAGGATCCGTGTCGTACAGCAGCCCTCTAGAACGTTTCATCTTGCCTGAGGGAAACTTTACACCTGTTGAATAGCAAATGCCCTTTTCCTCTCCCCAAAGGCCGTGGCCACTACCCTTCTACCTGCTCTCTGGATGAGTTTGTCTATTTAAGATATTTCATGTTTGAACCTTGGCTCTGACAGTCATTGGCACCATACTCTTACACAATCATATAACCTCCACATACCTCAGTTTTCCCGTCGGTAACATGAGTTAAGAATTCCTAAGGCACCTGTGGGACCTGAGTAAGAAAATACATATAAAGTGTATGGTACTCAATGAACATTGATAACTCTGGTAAACTATTCCCTTCCTTTTTCTTTCTTTCTTTGTTTTTCGGTTTTGGTTTTGGTGTGTCCATCACTCCTGTTTTCTTTGGGGTAGTCTCTCCTCTTCTCCATCCTTGTGATTCTAGTGGATTAACAAATACCTCCTCTGTACCTCATTGGGGGTGGGGGTCCGCAATGCACCCCACCCTCCCAGCATATCACAGAAACTTCATCTCCCCCATCCACAGCAGGCGGTCAGGAGGTCAGTACTTTTCTATTTAGAGTTGAAGAATATACCTTTAAGATCACATGCATCTGTGAGGATACGATTTGGAGACTGCTAGTGGCATTCTTTCCTGCCAAGTGAAGGGATGGCTGAGACAGAGACCAAATGATTAAAAAACAAACAAACAAACAAACAGACAGACAGACAAAAAACAACTGGACCAAGGGATGGAGTAACTGGGCCAGTGACAGGGGTGGGAGGAGAGAGTGAGAAGGTCTCAGAGTCAGGGAGGAAAGACAGAAGTGGAGAGAATCCAGATGACATAAAAGGACTCTCTCTAAACTTAATCACACCTAAAGAGAGGTCTTCTGACATCCATGCTCAATTAAGTGATAAATTCCTCTTTCCACTGAAGTCTGAACTGAGTCATTTGCAACCAAGACTTCTGACTATGGGTACTATTATTTGTCAGTTATTACTATTATTGCCATTTCCAGGAAGACTTCCCTGATGCCCTCAAGTAAACTTAGGTGCCTACTTTCCTTAGGTACCTTTTATATACTTTGCCATTGAATTGTAAAGTCTTTGCTATGGCTTAAATGTTTGTGTCTCCACCCTCCCCTCAAATTCTTAGGTTGAAATCCTAACCACAGAGTTGATGGCATTAGGAGGTGGGGCCTTTGGGAGGTGATCAGACCATGAGAGTGGAACTTTCATGAATGGGATTAGTGCCCTTATAAAAGAGGCTCCAGAGAGCTCCCTCACCCCTTCTACCACACAGAAATACGATCAGAAGTCTGAGACCCAGAAGAGGGCTCTGTCTCATCTGACCATGCTGGTACTGTGATCTCAGACTGCTAGCTTCCAGAACTGTGAGAAATAGGTTTCTGTCGTTTAAAACCCATCCAGTCTATGGTGCCTTGATACAGTGGTCCAAACGGACTATGACAGTCTTGGAGGATTGGTATTAGGTCTTTATAATGTCGTATTCTCAGTTATCATCACAGCACTTGTAACATTATGGAAAGAAAACTATATTCACAATAAATATGTGTGGAGAAATAAATTGATCTGCTTAAGAGCAAATGCTAAATAATAAAATAAATAATAAAAGCACTTAGAAAAGTGCTGAATTTCCACCAGATTGTTCTAAACACTTCAAATATATAAACCCATTTAATTGTCTCAAACCTCTAGCGCAGGTTCAACTATTCTACCCAATTCACAGACAGATAAATGAGGAACAAAGAGGTTGTACACCCATGATCATAAACTCTAGCTTGTGGGATTAAAGCAAGAGCACCCTGACTCTGAAGTTCATGCCTTTAGTCATTTTAATGTTAAAATAAAAACAACGTACCCTGTAAAAATTACTTTCTACAATCACTGCCCATGTGACATTTGCTTGAAGAAATGAGAGTTTACTTTTTCCAAAAGCCAAGCAAGAGCAAAGGATTTTTCAGATTCTTTCAGATTCTAATATTTTTATAAAGCATTAATTGCTACTTAGCAATGTCTCACCACATTAAAAATATTAAGCTCTAGGGGTGCTTGGGTGGCTCAGTCGGTTAAGTGTCCAACTTCAGCTCAGGTCATGATCTCGTGGTCCGTGAGTTCAAGCCCCGAATCGGGCTCTGTGCTGACAGCTCAGAGCCTGGAGCCTCCTCTGGATTCTGTGTCTACCTCTCTCTCTCTGTCCCTCCCCCACTCACACTCTGTCTCTTTCTGTTTCTCAAAAATGAAATGTTAAAAAAAAATTTTTTAAATATTAAGTTCCAAATTTGTAAGAAAAAGAGTCTAAAAATTTAGAGAGGGATAAAGCTTAACCCATGAACCACATTCTTTCTTTCAGGAATGAGTCATTCATTTATTCATTTATACGTTAAAATACTCACTGAATTGTATATGCCAGGCACTGACCACTAGCCTCAATTTTTTTCTTCAATCTGAAGAGGCTAGGAATAATGACTTTAATATACTTTATGCCACAATTCCACTTCTAGAAGTATTGTCAATTCAGACAGAAAAAAATACTTCTATACGTTTTCAAAATGCTTTCTTTTATAATGAAATGTAAATGATTACCTGTTTTTGGTAACTAGTTTTACATTACATATAGTGAATTGCAAATGGCTAATGACTTTAAAAATAAGGTATTGCACATTTGTGTATAGTGTTTAGAATCCTGGTGCCATCTTGTGGTTTAAGAAAAGTATTTCTTTATTCATTTTAGCTTGTCACAGGTTTCTAAAAAAAGGTATTAAATAGGTGGATTATTGATGATTATCTACCATAAAGTTCTAATTATATGCTTCTATCTACATCAGACCAAATTTTAGCTTCTGTGTGTTTATACTTTCTTATTTACCTAATGAAAAGCTTTGCAGAATCAAGTCAAATAGGATAAATATAATCCATAAAAACAGACTTCCAAATTCACTAGGACTAGGAAACACTGTCTACTCTATCCTTCTTAAAGATCTCTCATGCATATTTCTTTCTGAATGGCTCCAACAAGTTCTCTCATAAAGAAATTACTTTAAAACTTCCATATTTCTGTGTTTTTCCAATGATACAAATGAACAAACTGTAGGCTGTGTTTTGGGAAATGGTGAACTACTGGATAGTTGCCAAGTTCCCTTATGTTCCCTTTCCCTTCATTTTTGATGCTATTCAGTACACTGGGAAGGTACATTTCAGCACTTTAATTCTGTTTCATTAGGCCTTGTGCTTATATTTTTGTAGACTTATATAGTTTCTCAGACACACTTCCATAGAGTCTCAAAATGATTCTGTAGAACAAGAAGAACAGGTTTCATCCTCCTCCTCATAAAGACAATAAGGCTTACCCTATTTGCCAAGGTCACCTGTAATTAACACACGGTGGCTTTTTTCCTGCTCTGTTCATATCTTCTTATTTGAAGGTTAATGGGATATGTCTGAAATAAAGTTCTGCCTGATGTTACCAGTGATACCTAACAGGTGAAGTAGGAAGTATTTACCAGTACAGTATTTAACGATACAAAGGAAATAGACTTTTATGAAGGTAAGTATCAACGAATATTTTTTCTATAAAACAGGAAAAAAGGGCTAAATAACAGACACCAAACCCCTAATCTTCTATGCCCATATTTTTGTGTGGTGGCTCAGGGGGCCTCAGAGAGTCTGGCTCTTGCTTCACATCATCTTCACTTCACTGTGCCGAGAGCTCAGGAGAATTGTGGAGAAACTACTATATTCCCAATCGCACCAGGAACTTCCCTTCAGGAAACTGAGTTTCAGTGGATTTTCCCAGGGAACAGAGAAACTAAACAGAGATTCTCTTTTCTGAAGGAAAGTTGGAGGCTTCAATAACAACACCGACAACAAAACCCTCTCCCTTCAAATACTCAAATGTCAGAAAATCTTCTGGCAAATGATGGCATGGAAGTGATTGTTCGAAGGATTAGTTCTGATGCCGCTGGAACACTAATTTCTGGAGTGTAAAATGGATTAGAAAGGACTGCATTGCAGTCCACCCCTGAAAACAAAACTGAAGCCCAAAGGCCTCGCAAGGCTCGAGAAGCTTTGGGAGCCACAGTTGTGAATGACAAGGTACCCTGTCTGACCTTCTAAAAGGCACCAGCATAGATGCAAGACTGACATACAACTGGATGCCAGAACTATATGTTTTATAAATCCATTACTTTGATTGATAAGTCTAAAATTACAGGAGAGCCTGGGTGGCTCAGCCAGTTATGCAACGGACTTCGGCTCAGGTCATGATCCCACCGTTCGTGAGTTCCAGGCCTGCGTTGGGCTCCGCGCTGACAGCTCAGAGCCTGGAGCCTGCTTTGGATTCTGTGTCTCCCTCTCTCTCTGTCCCTCCTCCGCTCATACTCTGTCTCTCTGTCTCTCAAGACTGAATGAAAGTTAAAAAAAAATTGAAATTACAAAGGTAAGTCTATTTCTTAAATATTTACTAGCTACCATATAAAGATATTTTGTGATTATCTGAAAATAAGTTTATAAGAACTGCGATTACACCAACCTAACAAATTACCTGAAGATGTGCTTTTGACTGGGAGAATCCTGGGTTTAGGTTTCATTTTAATTTTGTCTTTTTCGATTTCCTGGTCTTCACTTTGAGATTCAGATAAGGGAGCTCCAACCACGTCTCCACAACCATCAGGTGCCATGTCCTCATCATTTTTGGCAGAGAAAGCTGGCTCATCTTTTGTCATGTCAATGTTTGATTTCTTGGTTTTCAAAAAAGATAGTTTTGGGGAATTCTTTTCTTCATCATCTGATAAATGGAAATCATTCATTTTTTTCTTATCTGAATTTTCATCTACTGAGGTATCAGAAAAATCACCTAAGGAAACTGAAAAATGGGAGAGAAAAAATGTTTTCCACAGTCTTCTTTAAAGTTGTGAAGTTTACATTAATCAAAAAGACAACCTTAAAAACTGATCTTTAAGGTTGTAAAATGAACTTACAACTAGAATGGATGCAAGTCTGTTTTACCAACAGGTCTGCAGTTCTAAGACACAGCTAACTTAGGGAGTTTTTGTCGGTATTTATGAAATAAAAATTTCAATTTCATTAATTTATTCAAAACATACTTACTGAGTATGAAGAGTGTGCCAAGCCCTACACTTGCTCTGAGCATCATCCAAAGGTCCCGCAAAATAACAATGACATGGGATATTTAAGCTGGGTTTTGGACTGTAAAGCTTTTATCTGCAAATGACTTCATTATATAAAATCGAGAACATCGATAAGTGGAAGAATTTTACTGGTTATTTGCTAATTATATATTTCTTTTCCATAAAAATTTCAGAACTACAATTTCATGCATACCAGAGTATTAGCTTTTACTATGAGAAGGTTGATAAAGAATGCTAACTTAACTATATAGCAATGATTTAACTATTGTTCTGATTATTTTTAAAGACAATATCAAGAGCTATTCACTGAATATTAAAGTATAATACACTGACTTGCGAGGTTGGAATTATGTGTCTTTACACTTGAAGCTAATATTTTTATATGATCAAAGAACCAAATTAAAATACCAGTGCCGATATGCTAGGCTTTTAAAACGGAGCCCCTATTATAGCCAAAAAATCTGACTTATAAAAACCATTACAAAAGTGATTCTGATGTGCACCAAAGTTTAGCTCCACAGGCCCTAGTTTTCAATTCGCTGGAGGGTCTCATAGGGTCGACACTTGTGTCCAACATGGTTTACAACTGACAGACATCCTTTCACTGCAAACCTATCAATTAATTTACATTTTCAGTATACACGCTCAGAAATAAACAAAGACAATCATACAACTTCCTAAAAGTTGTGAATGGCTTTTTACTCATTAAAAAGTTGGAAATTTAAAACCAGTGTATTTGTAGGTATTATTTTAACGTAAGTGGTTGTTTTTGTAGGGATGGGCTAAATGCACCTAAAGAAGCAAAAAAAGGACAAGTGGTTTACTTTTCCATATTCACACATACCAATCTCATCGCTGTCAAAGTCATCAGAGTATTCAGAACTTCTTTGCCTGGCTGAGCGGGCTGTAATTGCTTTTATTAGCTCATCCTGAAATGAGACAATTAAGATTAATTTCCACCCAAACAGAGAGGTCTCATATTTAGAATTAGTTCTTTAAACAAATAATGCTTGATTAACTGCTTTCAAACCCAGGTTTCATTCATATAACACATAATCCTTATGCCATGCACCCAAACCCTCAGACTCCATTGTAACACCACCGACAAGATCCCTCTCCTCATGAAGCTTACAGTTAAATTGGAGGAAACAGGCAATATCAAATAAATGAATTACAGGCTGTAATCAGGGTGGGAGAATAATAAACAAGGCAGGACTCAATTTATACAGGATTTATTACACACTGGCATTTTGGAAGAAACTGGTCCTTTTTGTGATCTTTTGTTTTAGCATATTGTGGTAATACATGTAATCCATATGGCAAACTTAGAAGCTGAGTTCAAAACGGCAGTGACTAGACAGAGAGAACTGAAATGGTATTATGTCACAACAGAAAAAAAACTTAGATGCAAATTTAAAGTTGCTATATAACTTAACTTTTAAAAGCTGATTTAAAATTTCAAAAGCTAGTGTACTAGTCTGAAAGCCACACAGAAGAGTTGGTAACACTGGAGCCCACATATGATCTCCAAAGGAAATGCAAAATCTCCAAAGGAAGGTAGGATTTACTCCTGCATTTTACAGGGTCATTCCTAGAATCATTCTGAGTCCATCGTTACAAATACAGAGTTAACCTTGTCAAGTCACTCAAAATAAAAATGTTTTGAAATACTTTACCTGGAAAGTAGTCCTTTTCGTGACTTTTGGACTCTTTGTATAAGCCAAAGTTGTGCTAAAAACTTCATCAGACATAGTGTTTCTTTCTTTTTTTCTTTTTTAAATCTTTATAAAATGGCTAATAGGCAAGGGAAATAATTCAAATTCTGATGGTGCCTGAAATGTACAAAAAGAAATCAGACTTTTTTGCACATTTGCGAATTTCTATTACTACCCTTTAGTGCAAAGAGAAAAAAAGAGCCAACAAAAAACAATTGAGAAAAGCATCTCATATGAATATTAAGCTAATAATCACTTAAATATGTAGAGTTCTTCTAAAGAAATATAAAATTCTCACCAGTTTGTTATCAAAGAAAAGTCAAATTGAAGTTATCCTAAAATTGTTTTGCAATTATCTTAAGGATGATCAAATAAATGACTGCAACAGGTTAATATGATAAAACGTTGCCAATTAAAATACAGTATTTTATTCACCTCCCTTCCATCCCCAAAGTATAACATTGTCCAAGAAAGAGCCATACCTTATTTAGAAAACTACCAAGGAGACTGGCAGCATAAAAGATACACCCAAGAGCGCTACCAAAAAAGCAAAACAAAACAAAACAAAAACAAAAAAACCTTGCGTACAGTTCTAGTGAAAGACAAAGATCATAATGCTAAACTGCAATAGCGATATTTTTTTCCAGTCGCTCTTCCTTCCCATAAAAGTGCTAATAGGGCGAGCTAAAAACAAAACGAAGCCTCCGTGATAGGCAGCATTAAAATCACTGCACAAGTGGGCCCGTGAACCTTTCTCGTGCTAGGAGTGGAGGTTCGGGCCTCCGTCACCCTGCCATCCACTGCAGCGCGCGGCCAGGGACCGCTCTTGCCAGGCCAGGTGGCACCCGGGTCCCCGCCGGCTCCGCACTGCACCGCGCCGACAGACAGCCCAGGTCCCAGCACTCGACCGGCCCGTGCACACCGAACGCTGTCCCAGTCCCCTTCCTCCGAGACCCCGGGACCCGTGTTCTGTACCCACCCAGCCGATCCTGCGGTGAGCTCCCCGCTACCCTAGGGACTGAGCGCCTGGCCTTGGGCAAGAGCCTCTCTCCACGGCCTGGGCCTGCCGGCTCTAGGAGACTGTCACAGGTCTGAGCAAAGAGGAGGGACTAAAAGCGGAGATGGGAGGAGGTTGCTAGGAAACAGCGTCTCTGGGAGGAAGTGACTTCCTCACCGCCAGGTCTCTCGGGTACCCGACACCGCTCTTCCGCCTGACGCGTCGCTGGGGCAACCGCCCAGACGGAGGAAATGACGTCACCCCTTTGGGTCCTGGGGAAAGGGTGCATTAAAGCCTACAGTGCTACTGCAGTTGCCTAGGAGACAGGACCCCCAGGCTCCCACCCGGGACCAAGCCTTGCGCTTCCTAGAGGACTGAGAGCCCTTACCTCCACCTGTTTAAGTCAAAGCACAGTCACCGTTTTGTCAGAGTTAGGATTTGAAGTTTTGCGAATCGGAGTAGTGTACTGACAGATGGGACAGAATAGCTACAGAGAGACATTTGCAGACTGAGACCAACTGCCCCCATTGAATCCTGGCACTCCTTCTCTATACCCGTGAGATGTCATGCAAATTTTGCCGCCCCCCCCCCCCCGTTTCCTCTTCTGAAAAAAAAAAGCCACTTTAGAGGGTTGCTGTGAGTATTGAATGAAATAATGTAGGTGGAACACCTGCAAGAGGCCTGAGATGGCCTTCAGTCAATATTAGATACACTTTTTATGCAACAGTCACAAAGTCCCTTGTTCACACAGCTGAAAACCCATTCCAAGTGTTTCTTTCATGGAAAGTACCCCCCCCCTCCTTTGTATACGAAGTGGATGGATAATCTGGTTAAAATCAAGCCAGGCAATGAACAAAATAGTCTCATAGACTGGGGGACCACATTCTGCTGAAGTAACCAATATAGACATCACTTAGTACAGCAAATCCTTAAACAAACGAAAGACAGAAGCAATTCTTTAAAGACTTCAAAATAACATGATTTCTACTATTTTTTATTTTTTAAAAAATTTTTAGTGTTTATTTATTTTTGAGAGAGACAGAATGTGAGTGGGGGTAGGGACAGAGAGTGAGGGAGACACAGAATCTGAAGCAGCAGCAAAGAGCCTGACTTGGGGCTCCAACTCTTCCATTGAGATCATGACCCGAGCCAAAGTCAGCCACTTAAGTGACTGAGCGACCTAGGCGCCCCTCTACTATTTTTAACTTAAAAAAGACTTAGTCCTTGCTAAATTGTCCAAATGAATTCCCTGACTAGAAATTAAACTTGTTCCTGGTATTTTCCCCATATCTCTAAGGTTTATTAATTTTTAACTTATGCAACAATTATTTACAAATAAACCACATTGAGATTTTATTTATTTATTTATTTATTTATTTATTTATTTATTTATTCATTTTAGATAGAATGGGGGAGAAGAGCAGACAGAGAAAGAGAGAGAAAATCCCAAGCAGGCTCTACACTCAGTACAGAGCATGACAGGGGTGGGGAGGGGTTGATCCCATGACCTTGGGACCATGACCTGAGCCGGAATCAAGAGTCAGGTGCTGAACCAACAGAACCACCCAGGTGCCCCCAGATATGTATTTAATAAATTAATGTATTGAAAGCTAAATGTACATCACAAGAACTAGGAAACTTAGTTTAAAAACTATACTTTTAACAATATTTACAATGCAACTTTAAAAATATTGTGCTCTGTTCATAGTCTACTTGTGTGGAAAACTCAGTTTGATCAATATTTCTCTTTCAGTTTGATGTTTTCAAACATTTTTGTGTCTTTGCATAAGAGAAATATTATCCATTCTTACCAGTTACTGTTAACTTTCTATTTCATATAAGTTATGGATAAACAAATATGATTCCATCATGGTACCCGTGCCCGCAGTAAGAACACAGCATGCACATTGTCCTACTATGTGAAGTCCTAATTTTTCATGTTATATATTTATATTCATTCAAAAAAACTCTGCTCATTTTTTATCCATTGAGCTAATATATAGTTTTCACTTAGATGTAGTTTAAGAAAACAAAATTCATGTGGCACCTGGGTGGCTCAGTCGGTTAAGTATCTGACTCTTGATTTCTGCTCAGGTCATGATCTCACTGTTTGTGGGATCAGAGCCCTGCATCAGGCTCTGTGCACAGAGTCTGCCTGGGATTCTCTCTCTCCCTCTCTCTCTGTCCCTTCCTCTCTCTTCAAAAATAAATAAAATAAACTTAAAAAAAAGAAAAAGAAAAGAAAATTCATGAAAAATATTAGTGAAAATAACCTTTAAGAAAAGATCATTGGGGCTACTGGGTGGCTCAGTCAGTTATGCACTTGGCTTTGGCTCGGGTCATGATCTTGCAGTTCGTGAGCTCGAGCCCCGCATCGGGCTCTGTGCTGACAGCTCAGAGCCTGGAACCTGTTTCAGGATCTGTGAGTCCCTCTTTCTCTGCCCCTCACCCGCTAACACTGTCTCCTCTGTCTCTCAAAAAATAAATAAATGTTTTAAAAAATTTTTAAAAAAGAAAAGGTCCTATCCTTTCCACAGTACCCACTAGATTTTTATTTTCAACTTAGTACAAAATAATTAATAAACAATATTAAGCTATCCTTTACAAAGCTACAGCAAACAGACTGTTAACCTGAACTTATTGTACACAAGACGTAAAGCACAGTATTTTTCTATTACCCTAAGCTGCAGAATATTATGTACTTTATCAATATTTTCAGGTAGCTTCAGTATAATATGTTAATAACAACATATGATACCTGAATTAATACTATTATTTTTATCTAACACAGTTTGCAATAAATACACAATTGTTTAATGAACTCATGAATAAACACATAGCATTTTCAACTGAAAAATAATTTTTGAAGCATTCCGAAACAAGATCACATATATTCAATTAAAAAAAAAAATACAACACTGCAACACACAAAACTTCCGTAGCTCATGTAACATTTTTTTTCATTTTCCAAAATACATTTGATCTCAGACATATTTGCTTTGCAAATATTTTTTGAGTTTATGCCCTTTTCATTGCTCAGCCTTGCCTTCACTCATCCATTCATGTATTCAGTGGGTACACCCATGTCAATAACATTCTTGGTCAGATTTTGGAAGTTCAAATGTAAACCAGACTAGAGCTCTGCCTAGGGATCTTACAGACCAGAGATAGCTGGAAGGTTGGGCAAACAGTGGTGATTTTACATCATGCTAATTTCTCTGTAGAAGTACAAAGAGAGATGCTGTCCGGAAAGAGCAAAGAATTCTTCCTGGAGACACAAAGTTTTCAAAGAGAAATTAAGCGTGAGTTGATTAATGAGTTTAGGAGAAAAGGAAGGATCAGAAGTATATTTTAAGCAGAAGAAATGGTCATTGAATATGGAGTCTATCTCATTGTAGATTCAAGCGTTTGAACAAAGTGATAGTGTGCCCCCTTTTGGGTGACAAAGAGAATGAGATCTATTTTCAATCAAGAAGCATCTGAGGAGTGACTCTTTTTTCAAAAGTTCCCTGCCCTCTCCTCAGCAGGCAAATTATTTATTGTCTTGGGACTGGCAGCACAACTTAGAAAGAGACAAAGGATCTTGTATACTCACAGCTGGCCCTGGGTGAATAAATAAAGCACCTGTCTGGCATTGTGAGAAGTGTGCTACAAAAAGCAAATCCCTTTCCATGTCAATTGATGAAAGACTATATTTACATTAAACACGGAGTGTGCAGGGCAGAAGAGAATGAGAGTAAGCACCCAGATACAAGTGCATTTCTCAAAACCGCAGCCAGCTTGTAGGGTGAGCACGTAACAGAAGGGAAGTATTCGAATCTTGACGAAAGACAGCCATGACCAGCCAAGACTTTTACGCTGATTAAAAGTGATTTTAAGTGATTAAAATTGATTAAAAGTGCTTATCAGCTTCTGATGAGTGAGGGAAGCTGGCCATTTTTAGTCAAATATACCAGCATTATACATGCTTACGATGTTACTTATACATCTTACTTACTTATACATCTTACGATGTTCCTGAAGTTTTAAGAAATCTTCA